TATTCATTCATCAAACATTTAGCTAGTCAAGAGTAGATCCTGCTTCTTGGAGAGGGTCAATAAATTAACTGGCAATAAACCTTTACTGTTCTTTCTCAGAGGAGAGAGAGTAACATGTGCATTGAAAATGATGCTTTTCCAGGTCCAGCTGATGATACCTTTTCCTTATCCCTGCTTTCCAGAAATGACACAAAATACACATTGCTGAGTTATTCTTCCTCCAAGGAGAATTTAATAGCTAGCCTAGCCTTACTTGCAAGTTGGAGTTTTCATCTTTCTCTCTACCCTTCCTGTTTACTTACTTTGCAATGATCTAACTTGGTAGCTCAGTGAGATAGCATATCACTCTCAGAATCCCTAGGAGGAAATGGACAGCACACCTTAAAGGAGTAACTAAAGACTATGTAATAAAGAAACTGTATGGAAAAGTGGGATAGGGTTTAAGGAATCAACAAAGCAGAGGAACTTCCCAAAGTTTCGCAACAGTGGAAAGCTGTTTCTACTCCTGTCCTCTAAAGGTTCAGGAGATGGGCATGGTTCCTAAAGAAAACCAGAGGAGAGGGCTGCCAGACATGAGTTATAACCTTCAATATGGAGAGGCAGCCACTGCCAAACTGCAGTTCTGCTGGAGGAAGCCCTGGCCTCTCTGCTTTAGCTCTCTGAGCTAGTTCCCCATATGGCCAGACCCAAGGGAATGCACGTGATACTGTCAGTGGAGGTTCATCTCCAGGAGACTAGAACTGCCTCAGACAATGGGCAGAGAGTGAACTGGAGATCCATCAGAGACTGATGAGCACAAGTGGTTAGCTTGATGGGGTGAAAGCAAATGTAACAGAATGGGGTGGGGATGTGTGTAGTTTGCAAAAACATCCTGGAAGAATTTAACCTTCTTTCCCCCAAAGAATAAGTAACACTAATTAAAAGAAATAAACCTTTGATAGGAGAATGTCAAATAAGTTAGCCGATTGAGATCATTAGTTTATTTATTCATTCATTTATCAATCATCAAACCTTCATTGGGTCCTCTTGGCATTAAGCATGCAAAAATGAACTAGACATCTCTGTGTGCTTGAAATTTTTTATAATAATGTTTTGGAAGAAATTAATTATTATACAGGGTTGCTGTCCTTGAGAATCTAATAGTCTGGACCAGCATGGTTTCCGGGAGAAATTGACTGCTAAACCGACTCTGGGCTAGTTAGATAAGAAAGGAAGAAAGGAGGTTCTCAGAGGGGATTTTAGTGGGTGTGAACAAATAGGACATGAGGTGGCAGAGGCTGAAAACTACTCTAAGGTTCAAAATTGCATTATCAGGTTTGCATTTGAAAAGATCCCTGGATTATCCAGCCAAAGGACAGATTGGTGAAGTGAAAAACTTAAGAAATAAAGAAATGTTGGGTGCCAATGTGAGTAATACTCAGGCATGCAACTAAGATCTGAACAATGGCAGGAGGACCAAAGATGGAGAGGACACAGATTCCAGATAAGACCGTAGGTAAGAATCAATAGGACTAAAGAATTAAGCAGGTGTGCTGTGAGAGATGGGGAAGGTGCTTTCAAGCTATTTTGCCTTCTCAACACTTCCACTCACTTTTTTAGCTAACAGCTCCTGGTTTTCCTTTAAGAGCGGGGTTCCTACCTGCCCAACTGAGTGTAGTCTCCATGGGAATTTCACCCACAGGTTCTCGTCCTCTCTGCCCCAAAGGGTGAGCACATGACCCAAACCAGGCCAATCAGTAGCTCTTTCCTGGAAATTTGGAAATCTTGGGCCTGGCACCTAGATCCTATCATAGGTTTTTCCTTTTCTAATCCTCCTTCTTCAGTTCTTTCCTTTGATTCTGTATACCACCCAAGGCCTTCTTAAAAAGTCATTTTGTTTTATTTCAATGAGCTACAGTTATCTTTTCTGTTGCTTGCCATCAGAAACCTTAACTGACGGTGGTGGCCATGTGAATGGTGGTACCTTATACAGAGAAAGAGAATGTTTGGCATGGGTTTTCTTAGGGCAAAGGTGAGTTGTTTGAGAAGACTATGAAAAAGGAAAAGGAAAAATCCAAAAGTTGGATAGGGAGGCTGTTGTGGAAATCTGAAAATCATACCAGAGTAGAGCCTTCTCTGATCCTTGGACATAGAAACTTCTATCTAACAGGCTTACCTCCTAAAGGTGTAGCCAGAGAGAGGAATTCCTCCATGGGCAAGCTGTCACATTCTTAAGGTGCTCTAGAATCATTCAGGGACTGGACAGAGCCACATAGTACAGGTAACCCTGGGCCCTGGCTCTGGCTTTGTCATGCACTAGCTGGGTGAACTTGCATAAGTGCCCACCTTTCTCTGAAGCTCAGTTTCCTTATTAGTAAAATATAAAGGTTGAATTATATTTGAGGTTCTCAAAATATGTTCCAAAATAATTGTAAGTTTACATACAAATGAACCGAACAGACTGGGAAACTGGGTCAAACAAATCTTTATTGGTGGTGGTGGTGGGGAGGTGTTCCTCACTGATTGCAGGACTTGGCAGCGTGTTAAATATACTCATCTGTCTGTGATGCAAATCTCCAAGAGGGGTGAAGGTGGGCAACATCTCTCACGCTATCTTTGGCCAAGGAACAATGTTTCCCCCATGGAGAAATGTGCGGAAACAGCAGTCATCAGAAGATGTTTGTACAAATGCTGGATTAGGTGATGTCTAAGGCTATTCCTGCCCAAACAGTCTTCTGTACCTCTCTTGTCTTTTCCAGCTGCCTGTTCCTTGGGGATGATTGGCTCTGAAGGACCTCTGAGATCTGTTCTAGAGCCTTCTCCCAGGAAAAAAATTACACATGAATGCCTATGAAGTCAACTTAAAGAGTTAGTCAGGCCCATGAGCCCCCACTCCACCCCCAGCAGCTTAAATGGAAAACACTGTCCCCCAGAGTGCCGGGAGCACAGACCAGGCCCAGCCTGAAGGGCCTGAGGCAAACAGGCCGCAGCGTGCATTTGGGAAAACAAAGAAAACTCTACTCCTTTCTGCTCCAGACAGTCTGAGACGCTTTTGTGCCCTTGGGCCTTTGCCCGGTTCTCTCATCTGCCTCATTCCTGGTACTAAATTGGTTCAAGGTTTGGAGGAAAGCTTCAGAGGAAAGGGGAAAAGGATGTTTAGAGTTCTTAAATGCTGAAGTCACTCTTGAGGACCAGAGCGTAGACCCTCTCTGGCCACCAGGGGGCAATGACAACAGCATCTGTACAGAAAGCCCTTCCCAAGAATAACAGCAGTAAATTGCACCTAATGTGTTTATGAATGATGCAGGACTGGAGGG